AGGTAATGGTCTCAATAGTCCTCATGTTTAGTAATTGAAATGTCATCTACTAATGGGACAGAATAATTTCAGGACACAATGAGATCAAACAGTGAATAATCAGAATTCAACAGACTCCCATCTGTGGATTACCTAACAACAGTGCAACTTAGACATCAAGATTCTCTTAAAGGTAACACTCAAAGCCACTAACAAGGTGAATAAAAGCAACCAACAAAGGAAAAAAAAACTCTTGGTTCCAGTAACATAAAGCTTGAAGAGGAATGAAGACATTATTTTTAGCTCATTTTCAAATTTCTTCTAGAAATATGACAAACAAATACTAACACCACCACCTCCAGGAGTCTGCTGCCTATTAAAATATTTATATCCCAGGTATTCTGATCAAAGAATATTCAAGATGACTTAACATTTTCAGTTCACATGACAGAACATTAAGAAAAAAGAAATACGATACTGCAGAATCTCAATAGGGGGGGAGCAGCTCAATCATGATCCAAAAACTTTACAAAATTCCACAGTTTTTGCCAAACACTAGAACATTATAAAGAAGGGGAGGCATATAAGCTTCTTGGCATGGAATTTGGGTGCCAGATTCCCAGCCACTAATACAGTGGTGCTTTGCTTAACGAGCGCACCGTATAACGATGAATTCGCATAGCGATCCCTTTTTTGGGATTGCTAATGTGAAGGCATCCCAACCGCCGCAATGGGCAAAACTCGCATTGCGACACCCACGGACCAGCTGTTCAGCGGTTTCAAAATGGCCGCCGGACACCCAAAATGGCCGCGCGCAGCGTTTTCGTGCCCTGCCCTCGCTTACCGAGGGTGCGAAAATGGCTGCGGATGGGGAAAACTGCGCTTAACAGTGAGTACAGAAGCCATTGGAACGCATTAAACTAAGTTTAATGCGTTCCAATGGCATTTTCCATCCCGTTTAGCGATGTTTTCTTATAGCAATGGTTAATCCGGAACGGATTAACCTCGCTATGCGGGGCTCCACTGTATTTCCATTACGCTGGTACATGGCAGTATCCTCAGATGATTCTCAAGCACTGTACAAGGTACAATTTATGCAAGATAAGATAGATCTTTCAATATCTGGTCTTAAAGTATGATTAAGGCAGGTGCCACAGTGACCAGGTCAGATCCCTCCTAGGACCAGCACATTTGGTGCACTAATCTAACAAACTGCTAGGGGTATGCCATTGTTTTGCTTTTTTGTTTTTGTTTTCTAGACCACAAACTCCAGAATTCAACTTTCTACGAGTCCCACTTGACAGACACCTAAATGTGGCTCACTTAGGAGAAAGTCTGAAGTTGGAAGACTTCATGGCCTAGCACAGGCCTAATTTCTTATTCAAAAAGCAAGTTCCTAGCAAGCACTGAGGAAGCTTTCTTTTTGAACAGAACTCACATAGAACTAGGTCTATACTATGCCACAAGGTTTTTCAGCTTAGATCTTTCTCCCTGATGAGCCATATTTAAGTGTTCATCAGGTGGTATCCCAGAATGGAGAATTCTGGGATTTGTATGTTGGTTTCTACAAATTATCTGAGGCCATAGCTGCCACTGAGGAACACTCAGATTGCATACCTGATTCATCAAAGTAAGGAAAAGACATACCTCACCCTTACAAGGAAGGCTGAAACCATACCTTTAAATCATCTTCCTACTGGTCATCATTTCATCACTTCTAAATTCTACACCAATGGACTCTGATGAAAAGATCTAGAACTGGATTTCACCAGCATACCGATGGTATAAAGAAACAATCCTACACATAAAATCTGGTTTATTTAGACCAGTGGCTCCTAACCTTGAGTCCCCAGATGTTCTTTGACTACAACTCCCAGAAATCCTGGCCAGAACAGCTAGTGGTAAAAGCTTCTGGGAGTTTAAGAACATCTAGGGACCCAAGGCTGGGAACCACTGATTTAGACTATAAAGAACAAAAAGCAGTTTAAGATTCAAAACAGCTCCAATTTCTTTCCAACGACAGCCCATTATTCTTTATTTTTCTAAGCTAACCATCCCCCACTCTAGCAGCTACAATCTTTTCTCATTTGGGAGCTGTTTCAACCATTTAATCACGCTGATTTTATTCAGCCTGTTTGCTGTTTTCCATGCCTCTGCCACATCTAAATCCTTTTGAGACACACTAACTCAAAACTTTATATTTTAGGTGGTGTGGTAAAATATTGTCTACTGACCATCTTTTTATTATTTTCCTTATTAACCCCTACACCGAGTTTGCCTTCTTAATAGCAGCTGCAGACTAGGTCAGTGATTCTTAACCTTGGGTTACTCAGATGTTTTTGAACTGCAACTCCCAGAAACCCCGGCCAGCACAGCTGGTGGTGAAGGCTGGTGGTGAAGGTTAAGAACCACTGGACTAGGTGATAGTTTCACTCAGTAACCTACCAGCAAGATCCCTTCTTTGGTTAGTCACCAAACCCTATCAGCATATATGCATGCATACATATGTGCCTCTTCTCCTAGTTTGGAGAGCCTTCTGAAACTCTTTGCAATCTCTTTGTTTTAACCATCCTAGACAATCTGGTGTCGATAGTAAACACAGCTGCCCTACTGTCTACATCTAACTGAATATAATTTTTTCACACATTTATCTGGAGCAAATGTTAAGCTAACAAGTCTGTAATTTCTAGGATTTGCTGACCTGATCTATTTTTTACGCTGATCATTCCCCTCTGGTACAGAAACTTACCTTAGGGCAACGTTACATATTTTCTGTTCAACAATTTCACATTTGAGTTCTGTAAGAACATTTGAGTGGCTTCCATCTGGACCTTGTAGTTTCTTCACTTTCAATGTTTCAGGGAGACCAAGATATGTTACCTCAAGCATTTACCTGAGTATGTATGCTCCCTTCCTGAAAATATCTGTTCAGACACTGATATCTAATAGAGATGTGATTTTTTTCATGTTTTTGGACTGCAACAACCAGAATTCTCTAAGAACTCCTAAGCCAGAATTCTGAGAGTCAAAGCTTCCAAACACAAATGGAATTCTCCATTTTGCCCCCCCAACAGAGAAAGACTTTCAGTTTATTTATCTCTGACACTGTTGCATGCCACCATACTTGTTAATTTTTTAAAAAAGGAATGTTGCCTGATGTTTCATGGGAATCAAGTTTTTTGGTCATATATCCTCTTCTATAGAGATTAAGGCAGCAAAGCTACAACTCCCAGAATCCTCGATGTCAGAGAGCCCAACCCCTACTGGTCACATGAACAAACAGCAGTGATCAGACTCTCCTGGGTGAATAGGACTGTGATGGAACCCCCACATCACACCTGTCCATCATGGAGAGCTCAAGGGCAGAAGCCTATGATAGGATGGGGGTGGGTGGGGCGGAACCAAAAAAACAGTTAAACAGGAAGGGGAGTTGGAGAAAAGAGGTTGGAGATAGGGAATTGAACATAGAGAGTTAGGAGATTGAATTGAGAAAGTTTAAAGAGAGATTAGAAAGTTGGAAAGCTAGAGTATAGGAAAGAGTTCAAAAGCACAGGGAATAAATAGATAGGCAAAGAATATTGTAACAGTAAATAAATACACATGCAAATCAACATGAAAGCAAACGATATTTAATGAATAAGCCTAAACATCTGTGATTTTCTCCTGTGATTTGCATAACAACTAAAAGATCAATAAATCTGTTGTATTGGCAGCACGTGTCTAAGATCTACCTATTTGGTATTGAGGGAATAAAACCTGGTGGCAGCGTGAAGTGAGGAAATGCATCCAGAGGGTGGACTTGTGTTTAGGGAAAATAAACAAAGGATACTGGGTGGATGGGAAAAGGACACAGAGAGTTGTGAACCCATTAGGCTATATAGAGGGCACTTCCTGAAGAACCATGACTCCCAGGAAGCACTGTGGCAGCCTTCTTCTTTTTAAAGTAAGAACAGATAGAGTGGGAGCACAGCAGCATCAGAGATAAACAACCTAAAAATCCTTCTCTGGGGCAGGGAGGTGAAATCTAGAAGCCTATGTTTGTGGACTGCAACTTCAAAATTCTGTCTGGGGAATTCTTGGAGAATTTCGGGTGTTGCAGTCCAAAAGCATGAAAGAACATACCCCTACTATGATTTTCACTTTCTGCAACAAAGAACAATGCAAATAATTTATTCAGCTTCCTAAATATGTTTATTTGCAGTATGCCCCACTATGTTCAGTGGGATGTCTTCTCTAGGACAGACGCATGAGATTTCAACTTGGACTCAAATGCACACTTTGGTAATTCCAATATTCCAGTGACCTGTACTTCTATATAATATGATTGGGATTTGGTTATTTGCCCCCTAGAGTGGTCCTGACCCGACCAGATAGGTGGGATATAAATAAAATAAAATAAAATAAATAAATAAAGTGTTTTAATTTCCTTTCTCCCAACAGTGGGATTCACAGATGCTCATAAATTTAAAAAAACAAGAAATAAATACATAAGCAGCAATTTAAAAACAATTAAACCAAGAATCATTAAAATCATATAAAACATTTTTTAAAATTAAAATGTTTAAAAACACATTAAAACAATATATATTCACAGTGAATGCTGGGCAACTAGCTGTGTTAAAATTAGTTATTACCCTCTGAAAACTTGTTGGAATAACAATATTTTACTTTCTGCTGGAAAGAGGCTCAGGCTAGCCTCATGAGGGTTTCATAACCAAGGGTCAACCAATGAGAAGACCTGCTCTTGAGTCCCTGTCAAACTTATCTGTAAAGGTGATGGGACTCAGAGAATGGCCTCCCTGGACGATCTTAGGAAGATTATAGTTTGGACCAAAGCATATAGGGCTTTATAGGTCACAACCAGTACTTTGAATTGAGCTCAGTAACAGATGGTAGTCGGTGAAGCTACTGTAACAGAGGAGTTATATGCTCCCTGTAACCAACACCAATCAGTAGTCAGGCTGCAGTATTTTGCAGCAGAAGTTTTTAACAGTTCGATCAAGGCTGAGCTAGACACTTACCTCTATATCCTTCTGGTTTATTTGTGGAACAAGCCCAGAAAAGCATCCTGGTATTTATAAGAGAGATAACTTCTGGTGCACAGAGTGTGTTCCTGTAGGGAGATGATAAAAAACAAGTCATTTGAAGAAATTCTGAGAATCCACACATCTCAATTTATTTTTTCAAAAAACCCTTCAAACTAACGCACCGACAAAATTCATCAGTGTCTTGATGGTCATCACCATGAAGGTAAACGAGGAGGAAACGTAGCTCCCTCTTTGCATCATTCAGTGCCTTGGGAGAAAGAACATAAAAGATGTTTTTAATTAGCATTTTCAAACTTAATTATTTTAAAGAGAAAAAAAATTCATAAAAGACAAAAGTATATGTGATTTTATTTTCACTGTCTCTCTCCAATACATAATAAATACTATTACTCATAAAACTTAGAGGCAACCTGTAAATACTTCCTTTATTTTCTCTGATGTGTCAATTTAGTTAACAAGGTGATGTGACAGATATGATTCAAGCTGTCTTGCACACAGAAGGACCTGCTAACAGGCAATTCATCTTTCCAATATATCCAGTTTCTTTGCTCCAAACCAATGTTCCCTCTAAGCTGCACTGGATCAAGGCCGTGCAGCTGAGTCAATATTGCCACCCATTTGCTCCTGGGTGTGGCTGGAAGCCCATGTGCACAGGTGGGAACCCACCCAGCACTGTAGAAAGTTAGAGGGAATGTTGCTCCAAATACTACATTAGTTTAAGAAGACACATTGTGCAATTGTTTGTTATACAAAACAGAAGTTAAAAATGAGAGGCCAGGACTTAACAAAGATCTAACTTTATACCATTAATAGAAAACTTCTACCCTGAATCCACTTCTGCAAAAACAGATCATATATTTCTCGCTTAAACCTCTATTTAATATAGATTCTAGCATATTTCAGAAAAGATTGCCAAGGATTTCATAGCATCCTGCTGTACAGAAGATCTAAGGATGTGCTTGCTTGTCAAGCAATACTGTTCTAGAACAAATACTCTGACTAAATCTGGACATGGCCTTCAGTCAGGTAGCTGCTCTCTATAACCTCTCTAGTTTACATGTCAGTTTGTCCGAGGGTTGCTGACAAAATTAAAGTGGAAAAAAAGAAAGAGACATTGAGAGAAACAAATAACAAAATGCCACAGCAACCCTAAGGACTAACAGATTTGCTTCAGTGTGAACTTTTAAAATCCACTTAGACACAACCTGTCTAGGAGCACACCTGGAAGTAAAATTTCTGGCTCAGGACTTTTATTTCCCAAGCTCTGTTTTTAAAAAGGCAACAATAACAGGTGTGTCAATTAAGTACTTAAGTCAGATCACTACTCTTGGACAGCAGCTCCTGTATACCCCACCACTGCAAGTGACAAGTTGCCCACCATGTATTTGTGCAAAGATGTGAAGTCTAGTAAAAATCTGAAAAAACACAGAAAAGTGTTTTCTCCCTTTAAAGACACATCTTCATATTTTTCCAGGAGAAAAATGGAAACTTTGGAAAGCACAGAACATTCAAGTGAAATATTTTCTTTTGGAATTAATTTCTTTTTACAAGGTTTTACACATTCAAAATGTGAGAAACTATTACTCAAAGATCTGTATATATGATAGTCTACAGAACAAGAAAACAACAATCCCTATTCTCATAAATTTCCCAGATAAAGGTTTGGATCTAGTGGGTGCTTCCACCTTCACAAGAGAAGGTGTAATAGGAGCTTAATTTCTTCTGGACTGCACTGCATAGGGCCCATCAGTCTATATGCCTCTCTTTAGTACAGAGTATGTTCACAATACAGTGGTGCCCCGCGTAGCGACGTTAATCCGTTCCGGATTAATCGTCGCTATCCGGAAACATTGTTATACAGATGGAAAAACCCCATGTTTAATGCGTTCCTATGGGGGGAAAACTTACCGCTAAGCGGGAATCCTCCATCCGGCCACCATTTTCGCCGCCTCGGTAAGCGAGGGCAGCGAAAATGGTTGCAGCGGCCATTTTGGAACCGCCGATCAGCTGTGTGAAAATGGGGCCTTTGGGAGGACCAAAGCCCCCATTTTCACACAGCCGAAGCGCTCGCAGCGAAAATGCAGCAAGGAAAAAACACACACACACACACACACACACACAAACCACAAACATAACCCACTAGGCCAAACCCACCCTCCAAAACCCACACAGAATTTTCTTTAAAAAAGGACTTACCAGTCTGAAGCCTCCCGACGCTCTGCTGGCTCCGCGCACCACAAACATAACCCACCAGGCCAAACCCACCCTCCAAAACCCACACAGAATTTTCTTTAAAAAAGGACTTACCAGTCTGAAGCCTCCCGACGCTCTGCTGGCTCCGCGCACCACAAACATAACCCACCAGGCCAAACCCACCCTCCAAAACCCACACAGAATTTTCTTTAAAAAAGGACTTACCAGTCTGAAGCCTCCCGACGCTCTGCTGGCTCCGCGCACCACAAACATAACCCACCAGGCCAAACCCACCCTCCAAAACCCACACAGAATTTTCTTTAAAAAAGGACTTACCAGTCTGAAGCCTCCCGACGGCACTTTCTCCCTGCCTTTTTGGCTTCGGAAGCAAGCCGGCATGCCAGGGAGGAATCGTCTCCCTCCTTCCAAGCAATGCTTGGAACCAAAGGAGAAAATGCCGGCCGGCCGGCACTTCAGAGCAGCCGCGGGAGAAACCTCGCCCACGGCCGCTCTGAGCACCTGCCCCGAAAATGCTGGCTGGTGCTTCAGAGTGGCCGCGGGAGAGACCTCGCCTGTGGATGATGCGACGCACCCGCCAGGGGCCTATGGGGAAAAATCGCAAAGCGATTTTCCCCCATAGGAAACATTGCAATGTGATCGCAAAAAACGAATCACTATGCGGATTCGTCGTTCAACGGGGCGCTCGTTATGCGAGGCACCACTGTACTCCTATATAAAACTAAACTTTTTATATTTTAAAATTTCACAAACATGTGTAATAGAAAAATTTTATATGTCAAGTTAAGAATGGAAGTCTTTATATTCTTTATACTTCTTCTGGAAGCAGTAAAATAAGTGATGAAGATAAACATTGCATATGTGTTAATTTTCCCCAAATGGTCATTTTTTTGGAGGGGGAAACACAATGTGGAAAGCAATTATTTTTATGACTTCAAAATTTCCAGTTTTAAAATCTTGCAATTCTGCTTCAAGATTTCTTTAGCAAGAATCCAAATTTCAAGACAAATAACACCAATGGAACAAACCCAATTAAGTAAGTTACTAGCACTAACCTGGCTGTATGTTCCCTGGTAGAAGACAGGATGTACTCTTCCATATTTTTCTTCAAACATATGAATAAATGAAACAATGTCACCCACAGGGTCAGTGACCCGACTACGAGGATCAGGGCGTATGAAACGCAAAGCAAACCTAGGAAGCATGTAAGATAGAAATATCAGCTTGCTAGACACCTCACACCTTAAAAACATGAGCAGAATGACTACAGACTTAAGTGCTCTACTTTTTATTAATTTTTTAAAATTCTAGGATTCTCCTGGTCTACTGATGTGGATCTTGCAAAGAAAAAAAATCTATACAGTATTCCCACGAACTCTTAACACAGATTTGTTTGCCATTCAATGTTACAATTGTATTTATTTGCTTTAAATTTAAAAATGCGTCTTTCACACTACTTAGCCCAATATTTCTACAAGATTCCAAAGGCCCTACCTGTTCTGAGCAGACCAAGAAAAGATGTAGATGCAGAGTCATTTCACACCAATTACTCTGCATCTACATCTTTCCCCTCCAAGCTATGGAGAATTAATCACTTTTGAAAGTGGGTGACAGCAAATTTCAGAATAAAGCAGTATGTCCAATATATACCAACATGAACAAAACACAGACTTACCTAAATATATCAAGTAATGTATAATATGTAAATCGGAATGGAAGCATTATCAAATAGTAACCCCAGCCTAACAAGCCCTGAAATGACAAAAAGGAAGTTAGGTTCAGTACTTTAGACTTAATACCTTTTGCTCAAAGAAGATTTCAGTACAGAAACCACTGACTTGCCATTTTTAAATCTGAAGCAAAATATTAAAAAAAAAACGTGGCAGGATTATATTAAGTGCTCAATAAAAGCTTTACCCTACTTTTTTCCCCAGCTTGGGACATACTAAAAAGCAAGCTAAGACTCAGCTGCCAGATATATTTTAAATTCCAGGAGGTGTTTTTTTTAAGTAATGGAAGCAATTTCCAAACCAGTAAGCATTCAAACATTTTTAGCTAAGGGCTATTTAATCTGCCCCCCCTTCCCATACACATCCAGAATAACAGTCTCTGATAATCAAAGAGGTTTTAACCAGCTCCACAGATAAACTATACACGAAGAGCCATTGATACTGTCACTTATGAACAGTAATGCTAAACATTTTCAGGCAAGGATGCAGATGGAAAAGCTGTTTTGCTTTTATGTTTTTTTAGTAGCATATGAAAATGAATCACACCATTATGGATATTTACAAAAAGATATTTATCAGACCTCTTAAGAAAGAAAACCACATCCCAGCTAAACATTTAAAGTCTCTAAAACACAGGATACCCGCAATAATTATATTTCTTCTGTTTGTTCTCTCATTGAAACTATTAGCTGGCTGGATAACTCACTGAGTTAGATATCTGGCTGCGGAGCTGGAGGTTGGGAGTTTAATCCCCTACTGTGAATCCCAGAAGAGCCAGCCTGTGCGGTCTTGGGCAAGTTGCACAAGTCCAAGAATGCCCCCAGAAAAAAGGAATGGTAAACCACTTCTGAGTACCTTCTACCTAGACAACCCTGAAAAGGATCCATATAAATCAGAACTGACTAGATGGAACACAATTATATTATTATCATAATATCAGTCACAGAGAAATTGCCCTGTAGTAGTCAATCTAAGCCACATGATAAAATAACCTGCCCTTGGTTGCGGTCTTGAAACAACATAGCTGTAGATCCTGTGGTCAGCAGTGTTGACCTGTAACGGTCGAGAAGGTGGTGGATTGAAGACACTTGGGACACCCTCTTGTTCATTCAACCGGTCCTGGACAGCTGCCTGTTGAGAGAGGACAATAAAAAGACAAGTTACAGTATTATAGTACACTTGCACTAAAAAAGTGATGATTACTCCTTAGGTGTCAAAGAATTAACTTGGGCCCCTAAAGAACACTGCTGCTAAGCAGTCCAGAAAGATGTTGGATAGAAGCCTATTGCAAATTTATCCTTGTGGAAATCACATAAGGAAAATCACATAAGCCTTGGTAGCTAACTGCCAGCTCATTAATGAGCTGCTGGTTATGTTCCTGGGTATGTGTCTGAATACACGCATGGGCCCATGAATCCAGCTAGCACTTATTTAATTAGTAGCAATATGCTATCATAAACAATATTATTTCCTTTAAACAGGTGCAAATCAGCATCAGGATTCTGGCTACTGTCCTGAAAACATAAGCAATAATTATGTTTTGTAAGGCAATGCTCCAATTAGAAAGGCAAAAGCATGTCATGAAGCAGGAAGAGCAGTAATATGGTAACTCAGGATACTTTCAAGCAAGCAGGTAAGAAGATAAATGACACAGCATAAGAAAGTTTCAAAAAAGAAAATCATTACACAGAATAAAATTTATTAGCTTGTTTATTTAAAATACTTATACTGTATGCCACCTTTCTCCTGAAGGATCCAATGTAACAGAAAATGTAATAGCTTAATTGCTCACCATGTTATTTAAAATTATTTTAAATATGGAACTATGGAACAGAAATAGGCATCATCCATATGTCTGAGGGCCACAAATATCAATCCCTGGTAACTGAATGGCTGCATCTGCTCTCGTGTTTCATCTAACCCTAGAATATTTTCTTTCAAAAGTGCTACTTAACTGAAAAGCTCCCCTCATGCTCTTCAATGGCCCCTTTTTATAAAGCAAATATAACCACCCATAAAAAAATAAATTTGAGGACAAGGGTGCTGGGGGAGTCATAACATTGAAAAACAGCCTCCCAAACCTCTGGAGTGCACATGGAGACTTTCATGTTTTCAAATTAAAAAAATAATAATAATCAAGGTATGACACATCTACCCACTTTTCCCACTGCTGCCTTAAAATTCAGTTAACTAAAAATGATTCCAAAACATATGGAGCTGTATCACAGTAATTCAGCTAGAAGAAAAGCAACTTATATACCAAAGATAGCCCCTTCAGAAATATTTAATGAGTCACATAACACCTAGTAAGCTATGTTTCAATTATTAAAATACCGTATGGCATTGTCAAAATTCATGAAACATTATTCATTCATTTATTGATCCGTGTATTTTATATCCTGCCTTTCAACATGATTAAAAATGGAAACACAAAATATCAAAATACTAAAATGCACCTGAATAAATCATAGTGAAACAACTGAATTAAAAGCAATTCAAAGCACATCAGTGAAAAAGTACAGCATTCCCCTACCATTAAAAAGCCCTTCCTCAGTCAGCTGCCCAAAGCCTGCCTGAATAAAAATGTTTTTGCCTATGAAAGAAACTGGGAGAGGGGGCCAGTAAAGGTTGAGCATCTTCAAAGGGAGTCCCATAGTCTGGGAACAGCCGTTGAAAAGTGCCTTTTCATGTCTACACTGAAAATGCCGGTGAGAATGATTGGAGTGAGAGACGAGTGTACTTTGAGGATCTCAGACCTGCGCAAGTTCATGTGGGAACTACATTCAAACACTACAGCTGAAGAACCAATAGTTCTATTACTAAAAAACAAAAAACCACACGCATCTTTCGCTTCTACTTGCTTGTATACGGGATTGGGAGGGCATCATATTGTCTTGTTGTAGTTGTAGAAGGGGTAGCCATGTTATTCTGTGCAAGCATTACAGGTAAAAGCAAAATACAAATAGAAAGATAAAAATCTGGTGGCACCTAAAGACTAACTTTTATAATTTTTTTATGTGAGATTTCATGGACAAGTCTACTTCAGACATCACAGGTTTTTTAACAGTTGAGTGGTACGACAAAGATGGCAATTACACAGATACTTATCTGGATAGTTGATCACCTTTTCTTGAATTTTATGCCTAAATTTTTTTTTAGTATCCAATGTTGGATTTTTTGTTTTGTTATTTGTTTATCAATTAATTAGAAATATTTGATTTAGTAATCAAAGAATTTTTAAAGTTTCATGGAATTAATTCTACTGAATTTAAAGAAATGCAAACTTATATCAAACAGCGCACAAATCCAGCTTCTTGAAAATCTTAGTTTTCAATTACAGACACAGCACATAAATAAAAACAAACCAATGTAGTATGCTGAAAAATAAGTAAGAACATGCTTGAAACATAAGAGACAAATGAGTAAGATTTCTTATGGTCAGCAGCAGGGCAAAGCTACAATGTTTTGCAGAGCAAATTGCCTCAACTGCTTGAGGCAACAAAATTACAGAATTACAGTGGTGCCTTGCTTGACAATGATAATCCGTTCCAGCAAAATCGCTGTAGAACGAAATTGTCGTCAAGCAAAAGTAAAAAGCCCATTGAAATGCATTGAAAACAACTCAATGCGTTCCAATGGGTGAAATACCTCAGAGTCCAGTGAAGATCTTCCACAGGGTGGCCATTTTCCGGTGCCTGTACAGTGGGGTCTCTACTTAAGAACTTAATCCGTATTGGAAGGTGGTTCTCAAGTTGAAAAGTTCTTATGTTGAATCTGCATTTCCCATAAGAATGCAATGAAAACCATTTAATCTGTATCTGCTCTTTTCTGTCCATAGAAACTACAGTGGAACCTCTACTTAAGAACTTAATCCATTTTGGAATGGTATTCTTAAGTTGAAACGTTCTTAAGTTGAAGCAAAATTTCCCATAGGAATGGACTGAAAACCAATTAATCTGTTCTGGCTGTTTTTTTGTTATGTAGAGGTGTGTTCGTACATTGAAGCATTAGTTCCCATAGGAACTAATGCAAAGCTGGTTAATACGTACTCTACCACTAGGGGGAGAATTTTTTTTAACCTAAGATGACCTAAGGTTAAAAAAAGAGCAGGAAAGGTTTTTTTTTTCCTGTTCTTATCTTGGATTTCTGTTCTCAAGTAGAAGCAAAATTTAGCAAATGGAGCTGTTCTTAAGTTGGATTGTTCTTAAGTAGAGACGTTCTTAAGTAGAGACCCCACTGTAAAGCGAAAAATCTGCCCTAAACACAGCAGGGAGCCATTTTGAACAGCGGGCGGCCATTACGAAAACCTGATGATCAGGTGTTTTGATCGTTGTTAAGCGAAAAATTGGTTCCCGAAGCAGGGAACTGATCATCATCAAGCGTATTTTCCCTATTTAAACATTGTTTTGCGATTGCTATTGCAATCGCAAAAACCTCATCGTTAAGCGATTTCATCGTGGAGCAAGGTAATCGTTAAGCAGGGTGCCACTGTATACAAAAGGAAAAATATTAAACCAAATTATATGGAGACTATAGATTTAAGATTATTTTGGTGTAGAATTCTGCATTTTAGAAGAGTCTATATATGGTCCCAGTTATAATGAATACTGCCTTGAGAGAGACACCAACATCTCCCATAGAAGCTAAATTTGGAAACACAGAGTGTGACTACTTTAATCAGTGCAATATGACAGAAAGACAAAATGATACTGTACCTCTATATTCCAGTTGTGTTGTTCCAGTGTATGACGACATTGGTCCATGGACTCTATGCCAGTCAAATCCTAGGGAGATAAAGAATGGTTTGAATAACTGTTTTCATTTAAGCCATTTATCTTCACAAATTAAACCAGAACAAGGCATTCTAAGCCACCACAACTTACAGTTATAGATGTCTTAACATTTATATACATGGGCACAAATGCTACACTTCTTTCCTTGATTTTGCTCAGGACCCTGAAAAGAATGGGGAGGTCAAGGAAATCTTTGTATTTGATGACATTAATAAAGGAGGAGTGCTTAACTTTCTTTGAACCAAAGTGCTCTAAATTTTGAAATGCTTCTGAGTAATTCTTCCTTTCCCTAGTGACAATACCAATGACTGCTATTTTTTTCCTTATCTGCCAGATATGTATTCTTTTGCCAATGGTACAGTTTCACTCACTTTCGATTCTCTTCTCTTCTCTTTATTTATTTATTTTATTTATTTAGTTCAATTTATATCCCGCCCATCTGGTATATCTTTTATGTTGTTAGCCGCCTAGAGTGGTCCTGACACGACCAGATAGGCGGGATATAAATAAAATAAATTAAATAAATTTAAAAAAGTATATTCTACCACTCTGGGCGGCTTACAGAATATCAAAAACAATTGAAAACACATAAAAACATTAGCATACAACAAAAACAAATAGTGCAGGAATAAATAAATAATAAATAGCAAAGCAAAGAAATCAGTAG